TTTTATTTTAAATTTAATTTACAATTTTTTCAATTAATGCACTTTAAGTGAAGCGCTTGATTGCATTTTTGTTCCTTTGTTTCTCTGTGAGTTACAAAAAAATTAACACAATTTAATTAAATAAAATTCAATTTTATCATATACTAAAAATATTTAGAACTAATTAATATTTAATCAGTTTAAAAACTTTCAACTTTAAATAAAGTTTTTGGAACTATTGTCTATTGTCTACATCTACTTTAAAATGGTGGCAATATTGCAGGCCAGCAGAAACTAATAGTAATTAATTGCTTGGAAACAAATTTTATTATTTTATAAATTTATTATAATTCATTTAAATTTTTTATATCACTAAAGTCTATAATTCAAATTGGGAATAACATTTTTTTACTTTTAAAAGAGTTATGCTGTTTTTGAAGAAGCTCTGAAAAGTTTATCAATAACCTTGATCTGTGTTCGATTTATATTAAAAGACAATTTCTAGGGATTACATCTCTCATTCATTGCAGTATACCATTGGTCATAATAATCCAATTGAAGTATGAAATTCTAAACAAGTTTTTCGTTTGTATAAAAAAAAGAATTAGGCCAAGTTATCAAAGAATCAGATATTGTAAAGAGTTTTGGTCAACTGCAATGATATATATGGCTAAAACCAGCAAATCTTTTTATGGACTGGAGATATTTTGAACACTGAAGAAACTGTTTGTAATTCGCAATTATTTGGATATTTTAAGCTTTAATGTAAGTCTATAACCCGCAATTTATCTAAAGTTTCCTTTGCTGTTAATTAGAAGATGAACTTAGCTACCGCCGAATTATTTACTTCAGACTTATACAGTAGGTTTTATATCTGAGTTAAAGAAAAATTTATGCTAAAATTCTAATTAGACAAATCTTCAATGACTATAGAAACACATTTTTCTTATGAAAATGGTTCACGAAAATCAAAGTCCATGAGAAAAATCATATACAGAGGAAGTCTATTCACTGTCTATTTAAAACGTGACAGGAAATACCATATTATCCGACAATAAAATTATCATCTCAGCCAATTAATGCGACTGCTAAAAGATAATTAAGAATATTATTAAATCAATGCCGAAAAATATTAATCACACTGTGTGATTAATATCACTGATACTTATAGTTTTAAAAGATCTACGGAGTGTTTGTATTTCTTAATAATTAATTTTGAATAAACTTTACTCATTTGAATGATATTTGAACGAAAATGCATTTTGGTATCTTTTAATAGTTAATTGTATACCCAGTGAACCTCGTGTGATGCTCAGTTGTCAAACAAGAGTTCCATTTTATTGCTTCAGATAATTTAATTTTAAAACGGAAAATTGTTAAAAATTTTAATGAAGCGAGCAATATTTTAATATCTAAACTGATAACATTCAACAGACATTTCAGCAGAGAACACTCTCAATTTGATATGTTACGATGACTAATCAGTTGTCATCTAGAATATTAGAAACTGTGTCACGGAATTCATGTAATCGTAAAGAAAACTCTTATATACGCCTAAAAAACAAAATAGAAGTACAATAATTTTTCATCATTGCTTCACCTTACTTGGTGCATTTTTTTCCTTTCCCTTAAATCAACCGATGTCTTTTTACATTATTTGATGTCTTTTTCAAGTCGTATTAAAACCCCAAAAAACTTTTCGACCATCTACGAAGACTAAATATGATTGATTTTATTTATTGATCATGGAACTAAAATTGAAAGACGATTTTTTTATGTTTTTCATCAAAGCTTACGTTTCAGCAAGGCTTTGAGTGTCAAAACTGATGTTTGATAAAAAAGGGACCACACACTTAATTCTTTCATAGATACGCAAAAACAAAAGGTACAACGTAGCGTATGATTGACATTTTTGACACTGAGTATTTTTGCTGTTGCTATTAGACCTGCCCTGCCATGCCCCAATAAATAAAAAACTAATAAATAAATAAAAAAATAAAATTGAATCAAAAGATTAAATAAAACTATTTTGTTTTTGCTTCAGTTAAAGATAAAATTCTACACAAATACACGCAGCACAACATTCAAATTTTATACATTTTACACTTTTGCTTATTAAATATAGACAAAATAATTGAAATTATTATTATTAATAAAGTCACTTAAATATTATTTTGTTCTGTTTCTGTTTTAGATTTTCACTTCTACACTTAGATTAGAAATTGTACAATACATTTGATACTACATTAATTGGAAGCCACTTATGATTGAGGAAGGGTCCTAGGTTTGCAGTTAACTTTGCTTGTGAGACCAAAACGGTTTGCTAAATTTTATTTGAACTTTAAGTGAAATATTGTATAATTTCCTTAGAACTTGCTGTTGCAGCGCATAGATACAGTATTTGAATATGTGATGTAATCGAAGTGCATTTTTGGTCACTCTACTCTAATATGTTTATTGTCAGTGGAAACGCGGAAAAAGTATTTCAAAAATGTTAGAAAAATTATTATATTTTTTGCAAAATTGGTTCGCATTGGCGCTGCTGTGATGAAAACGAAGGCGACATGGGAATGCAAAATTATTTATTTGTCTTCGTCCATGTCCTCGACTGTTGTAATTTGACTTTGTATGCTTTGACGCACTTCTAGGGGGCGATGATCTCGTTCGTCAGTGCCATGCAGCTTAACCGCAGCTTCGATGAGCGATGGTGCTGACGCTGCTGTGCTGGCGTTTGGTTTCGAGAGTTGCTTTATGGGTTGACGCAAATTTGATTCGAATTGTGCTATTTGTGCTATTGCCAAAAAGGAACCTTGAGGTGGCGTTGTTGCCGTTGTCGTCGGTATCGTCGGTATCGTGGTGGGTGTCAACGCAAAAGTGCAGTGTTTGGTTAATGGCGCAGATGGCGTTGTGGCCGCACTCATTGAACTTGAGGAGCCTGTTCCAAACATTAGTATTGGTGGTACAGAAGCAACTGTTAAAGTGGAACCTGAAGCCGATATAGCTGGCAGAGAGGGCCTAGCTGCTGGCGGTGTTAGTGCCACATTTGATTTATTTGTCTTACTCACTGCTATAGCTGTTGTTAATTCATTACTTTGATGTATACTAACAACACTGCGACGTTGACGATGATGATGACGATGAAAGCTTTGACATCGCCGACAACATGTGCGATCACGCAGTTGCTGCTGTTGTTGGTGTTGCTGCTGCTGTAACTGATGTGTATGATGATGATGATGGTGATGCTGATGCTGATAAACGCTATTGCGACCGCAGTTGCTACATCCGCTACTGGAGCTGCAACTGCTTAGTTGACGTCACATAATAGAACGATTGCCTTCGAATTGATTTACAGATGAATAACCAAACGAAGTTGAGGCTGCAACCATAGCCGCAGCAACATGACACTGCATCATTAAAAAAATTTAAAAAAATATATACAAAATTTTATCACAAAAAAGTATCTGTGCTCTTGGAGTATTTGTGCGTGTGGATATGTGGATATGTAGTGTGCCAGTGCCGTTATTGGGTTCAATATGTTGTCTATTTACTATTGAGCAACGTATTAGAGTTTGTGCTTGCAAGTGTAGGGTGTACCTTAATTACAAAGGAATCGCCGATTTAAATATTCAATAAAGAACAATTTTACATTTTTATGGTAATTGTACAAATATTAGCTTAATTAAGAGCATTAAGGCATTCGCATGTTAATGGAAAAAGGTTCAAAGGATAATAGAGTGCGGAAATGTCATAGAAAATATAGTTAGAAACAGAATTCAATTTACATTTTTAAACGAGTAATTTTAAGAATCACAAGAATACAGAAACTAAGAATAATATTTGATTATTTACTAAGGATGTTTGAATATAAAAATTAAAATAACTTCAATACTTAATAATCTATCTCTATTTTTTTCTTCATAGTATTAGCACAAAATATTATTTAAATTAAGAAACATGATTTAATGATTTAAATGATTTAAAATTTTTTATCTAGAATAAATAAATATAAATTTATTTATAAATTCTATATATTCTCAATATATTACTTATAAAATCCTAATTTTTTTCAATTCACTTGCATATCAGAAGTCGCAATTGTACTGCGTCCTTTGCAGAAGGACACACCAATTTCAATAACACAATTCTGCAGCGTATTTCGGGTAATTCGATGTTTTACATACTTGGTACCCACAGTGAAGATTATTTATATGTAATAGGTTGCTACATCGGTTTGTTATGCTAAAGCATAAGTCTTCATTCTTAAGTGTTTAATTATTGATAATATCGTGACATGATAATAATATGGGGAAAATCATGTATTTGGAGTAGTTGTTGGGAGAACTCGTAGTAATGCTAAACATAAAAGTGCAATATTGAGGATACCAATTTTTGTTGGAGCTAGCAATCGTATTCGTTTATTTATGGCTTATGAATACTACTCCTTAATGAAAGGACTTCTTTTTAAATTTTAAAATTTTTAAATTAAGACAAATAGCTTCTTACGACTGTTTATATATAAAATATAATAAAATAAATTCATTTTAGAAAAATTTTAATATGTTTGCTTTTATGTACATATGTATATGTACTATTATGAATTTGTTGGTTTTATAATTCTACTTTCATGAAACCTTTAATTTTTTACTATATAAACTATATTTACAGGGATCGGTTATAACCAATATATATTTTAAGAAAAATTTGAGTGCATTATATTCAAAATAAGAAAACAATAACGAATGTGTAACAATGCTACAAACACAACGGAAAGTGCAACAACTCTAAAAACTTTGGGAACATTAAACAATCCCATTTAACTAGAAACTGGGCTAAGAAGTAATGAACCTAAGTTTTACATACCTTTGAGGGAAAAGTAACGTGAAACGAATAAACCAACGAGGCTGTTTAATACATAAGAAAAACCATTTATCGAAAAGCGTCAACAACATCCTTAAAATATCCTTTTCTTGCTATGAATTCAATTTTCTTGGTTGCAAGTTGCAAGCACGCTAAGGCCAATTGAGTTCACTTGTTGCAACCACTGATTTATAGCATTGCTGTAAAACGTACGTGCTCTCCTGCACTGGTAACTAAATCAATTTCATATCGACGGAAGCGCTGCCGCAATGTGCAAGGACTTGATAAAAATGCAATGAAAAAGGAAATGGCTTAAACAGCGCTTAATACGTTGCTTTCATTAAATTCCTGTTATAAGGATGTTGCATGCTCTAACATAGAAATAATTCCCTTCGGCTAATGAGTTCCTCCTTTGAGTTGGAATCATCTCACCTAAAAATTCATCATGTCAGCACCCAATGCCCAACACCAACCGCCGTAGAACGAGAAGCTGGAGAACAACGATGAAAAGTTGTTGGATTGATTCTGTGTGGTATGAGTTTTGGAACTAACACTAAATGTAAGTTTGTTCGCAGGAGTTGTGTCTGACGTGTTGTATGCCGTGTAGCGAACAGGTGGAGTAGCATCTTCGTGTGGCGAATCTCTGTAAGAAATTGTATGGTTTGGTGCTTGTTTTGTGTCTTATTTGCTTTTTAAAATAATTTAAGAAAATATTAATTACAATAACTTAGTCATTTTCAGGGTAAATAAGCTGTTTACTGGCACGAATTTATCAAATCGTACCAAATATTCCCAAATACCAAATGCTCCTGCGTGGGCACCAACGTCTATTTGTTTGTTTGTGTCCATGTGTTCGACTGAGTCGTTAGCTTTTCACCAGGTTTGTGTTTAAATTGAGTACTAAACATTATTTTAAGGTAAATAAAATACCAAAAATTCAAACAAAAGGTGATTTTTCAAAGTGTGGAACTGTTGGTACTCTGTAGTGGCTATAGAGACATGTAGAGATATGTATGTTTGCTAGTATATGCTTGTTTGTGAGTTCGCATGTTCAATTTTGGAATTTTGGAAAGCAGTCTAAGATAATTAAATGAATTTAACTTGACTCACCTGAGACTTGGAGCGCATGGTGGGCTGGTATTTTCGACGTATTTTCCGAGGACAACACACGCAAAGCAAACGCACAAATGCTCTGAAATTCATGAGAAAAGGGAAAATATTAACATGTAAACGGCACATTGCATGCACATTATTAGATTGATAAAAGATGAGGTCATTTAGCATGATTTTGATTTATTCCCTAATTTAAATATTATACTACCTACTGTGCGTTTTGTTGCTAAAATTTATAATTCTATATATCATATTTAGTTATTGATTGTCACAATTCGTGAATATTGTCTAATAACTTAATTGTTTATTCTTTCGTTAGTTCTTCCAGATAAATTAAGATAAATAAATAACCCTTTAGATAAGTTCAAGTTTAATTAGGTTAAGCCTCCTTTATACATTATGACATTATATACTTACCGCCTAAAATCTCTGCTCCAGCATGCGTAAATTACTGGATTCATACAAGAATTTATCCACCCCAACCATGTAACAATCGCTGACACAACTTCCTCGTGCTCAATGCATTGCATACAGAACCCAGATAGTAAATTAAAAACAAAGAATGGTAACCAACACACAATAAACACGCCCATAACAATACCAAGTGTCTTAGCTGCTTTCTTTTCTTTTGCGAACTTCGCTAATTTACGAGATAATGAGAAATTTTTACCCATGTGACGATGTCTCGCTAAGCCGTTATTATGCAATGCGGATAATGGTTCCTCATCTGTAATGAACATTTAAAAAAAAATATGTAAAAGCAATAACAACAGAGTCTCCATTCCACTATTATGATTTTTAATTTTTTCAAAACTAAGAAAAAAAGAACTAAGACTGGAACTCAATTAGATTATAATTTTTAATAAACTAGAAGAATATTATACTCTCTGAACTTACCATTTTCCTCTGGAGTTGAGGTAGTAGTCCCTGTCGCACTGTGATTATGATGTGGATGATGGTGTGAGTGTGTATGATGCTGCGAACCACCGCCACCTAGGGAACCACCACAATGCATAGATTGCTGATTTGACGGTTCTCGTGTTGTACCACCACGATGTATGCGTAATGTGAGCTGAAGTTCACCGGAGGCCATCAACACTTGTTTCGTGCCAATTTTGAGCGAACGTGTCTGTATGACTGCGGCACGGTAAATGCGACAATAGGTAAAAACCATTACGAGCAAAGGCAGATAGAATGATATGGTTGATGAGAATACTAAATAGCCGAGATGTTCAGTGAATGTACACTTATAGGCAGGCATTTCGCCATCACGTGCTGCACGCCACCAAACAATTGCTGGAAAACTTATGGCACTTGAACATACCCACACCGCACAAATAAGCGCAGCCGCACGTTTAACCGTCATACGCATAGGATACGAAAATGGATCGGTAATAGCCCAGTATCGATCCAATGAGATAACACATAAATTCAATATCGAAGCAGTCGAAAAGAGTACATCAAGCGAACGCCATATATCACACCAGTCAGTTCCAAAAAACCAAGTATTCTCCAGTACTTCGTAAAGTGCGGAGAACGGCATTACCACCAGCCCGACCAAACAATCAGCTACTGCTAAGCTGGTTATGAAATAATTCGTAGCTGTGTGCAAATAACGCTCTCTCACGACAGCCAATATGACGAGGGAGTTGCCAAATACCGTGGCAAACGAAAATAGAAAGAGAAAGGAGAGCAAACTCACGCGGTCATTCGGCAGCGCTTCAAGAAAATGTGATAGATCGGGCTCTCGAGTTGTGGTCACATTGTATGTAGTAGTCGTGATTTCCGTGCTTGTGGATAAATGGCTTTGTTGTTGTTCTGTGGTGCCCAGGAAGCCGTTGAAGTAGTCGAAAAGATCGTCGGATATATTAAAGCTAGAGTAAAATGGTGGGGGCGGTTCAGCCTGTAGGTGTGTTTGTGTATAATTGACTTGTTTCGCATCTGTTACGTGCTGAGTGAGCTGCTGCGTGGACGGACCAACCTGTTGTGCTTCCAGCGAGAGTAGTGGCAACTGTCCTGAAACATATTGCCAATACGACACTGAGTTCTCAGTTGATGAGTTGTTTGCATTTTTAACTAAGCCATTTACATCTAGCATTATATCTGTAGATATGTTATCGTTAATCAGTTCAGCTTTACAATTACAGTTTTGCGAACATAAATCTGTCCTTCAAAAACGTAAACCCATTATGTGACATGGTCCCGATTAGACATTTTTTTGTAGAAATGAATCGGCTACTGTGAATTTTGTAGACTTTTAAATAATCTGTGGAAAAAAAATCAATTGAAGTTTGTTAGAGCGGTTAAAGTCAAATTGTTAATATTGTAGGATTCTGTAGAATTATTAATTGATGTGTTATATGATTTATATATTATAATTTATTATATTTTAATCTATTGTAAATCATATTGTATAATTAAATTATTATAATTAATATATTATATAATTCATATATATATATAATATTTTATATGGTTAATATATGGTTAATTAATTTATCTAACTAACCCTGTATAAGATGTAATCAAACCAACGGTTCTAAGTCTTGTTTTATTGCCTTTTGTTTTTTGCGCTCGAGATGAGCAAATTTTATTGTTATATTTTTTGGCTGCAAGTAAACTCCGTTGGTTTGATTCTGTCTCTTGTTTTTCGATCGCGAACGTGTCAACACACGGGTACACATAAAAAAGTGATTAAACAATCAATAACCGAAATTGTATAAATTCAATTGTATAAATTAAATGAAATCAAAACCCAATTATAAAAACGTTTATAATTTACATTGTGTTAAAGAAATTGAAATAAAGATCATAAAACCCAATTATAAAAACGCTTATAATTTACATTGGCGACCGTGACAGGACTTTTTGCAATTTTAATAGTGGTTATTAATCTCCAATTTGTTAAAAAATCTAAATATTACCCACGTGTGGTAATCATTTTTTCTTATTAAGTTTGTAATCATTAGTGTACGCGTGTGTGCATTTCTTCCACACGGCTATTCTGTGGACTGTCGAACGTATATACTATTGTGCAATTGGTGGTTCTCGGTTTAGGTCCGCTAACCTCAAACCAGAACCTCGTGTCCGCATCAAGATCGCGCTCGACATTACAACAACAAGATACCTTTACTTGTTGATTGTACATACTTTCGCTTTTATTGTTTTTGGTTAATTTGTAACCATTAAAGTGCGCGTGTGAATATTTCTTCTAACCAGTTATATAGCTAACGTGTGCTAACCATTATAATATATCGTACATCTATATATATATTACCTATGTACTATCGTACGTATATACTCTTGTGCAATTGGTGGTTCTCGGTTTAGGTCCGCTAACCTCAAATCAGAACCTCGTGTCCGCATCAAGGTCGTGCTCGACATTTAAAATAACAACAACAAGCTATCTTTACTTGTTGATTGTACATACTTTCGCTTTTATTGTTTTTGGATAATTTGTAACCATTAATGTGCGCGTGTGAATACTTTTTCTAACCAGCTATATAGCTAACGTGTGCTAACCATTATAATATATCGTACATCTATATATATATTACATATGTACTATCGTACGTATATACTCTTGTGCAATTGGTGGTTCTCGGTTTAGGTCCGCTAACCTCAAAATAGAATCTCGTGTCCGCATCAAGGTCGTGCTCGACAGTTAAAATAACAACAACAAGCTATCTTTACTTGTTGATTGTACATACTTTCGCTTTTATTGTTTTTGGTTAATTTGTAACCATAATGTGCTCGTGTGAGTATTGCTCCTAAACGGTTATATATCTAAAGTGTGCTAACTTTAATAATATCGTACATCTGTACATATATACTATATACTATCGTACGTGTGTACTATTGTGCATTCTATGGTTCTCGGCTTAGGTTCTGCTAAGCGCCAAATAGAACCTCGTGTCCGCATCAAGGTCACGCTGAACAATTACAACAACAACAACAACAAGTTAACTTACTTGTTGATTACTGGTTAATATTTGCTTCCAATCAGTAAGTGTGCGGGTTCGTCAACGTCGCGTCTGACAACAACCACCGTAAGAGCAGTTCAATTTCGGAAAGCTCACTGTTGCTATTGTGACTTTTCGACTTCGTCAAATCCTTTGCTGTTCTCAAGTATCTACAACTGTTTCAATGGCAACGGCAGAGCCAACCACTACGGCAGAACTGTCAGAACTAAAACAACAGCGAGCCTCGACGAAAGCGAGTATTTCAAGAATCAAGGCGTTCGTCAAAGGAAAGAGTAATTCGCTCTCACAACCAGAACTGAAATGTCGACTAGGTATTTTAGAATCATATTTTAAACAAATCTTAGCTTTTCAGACGTTGATCGAGAAATTAGATGCAACTGACTCAGCTAGAGATGAATTAGAAGACCTATACGTTTCCACCAAAATATTAATCATGTCTCAACTGCAGGAAGAGGTCCACAATGCATCAGTGCTAGACGTAACAGCAATGATGCCCACCTCAAGTAAAAAATTACCACTGTTAAAATTACCTACATTCAGTGGTAAGTACTCGGATTATAACAATTTTATTAATTCGTTTCTCCAAATCATAGATCGCGAAATATACCTCACAAATATTGAAAAATTTAATCACTTACTGAACTGCCTTACTGGTCAAGCTCTAGAGACAGTACAGGCATTTCCTATTTTGAATGAAAACTATCCAAAGGCTCTGGATAGGCTTAAATCGCGCTATGACAATAATAGCCTAATCTTCGCCGAAAATATCGCGACACTATTTGATCTACCAGCAGTATCGGGTCAGTCAAGCCAACAACTTCGTAGTCTGGTAAACAATGCATCCGCTTTGTATGGTTCACTCTGTTCGCTAGGTACAGAGAAACAAATATGTGAGGCTCTACTTATCTCGCTAATCATGCAAAAAACGGACGCAATTACACGTAGGAAATGGAATGAATCGCGTAACTTCGACACATTACCTAGTTGGGAAGATTGCTCAAAATTATTGGATAGGCATTGCCAGTTTCTCGAATCACTCGACAGTGAAAACGGCAATCAGTCATCATCACAACGTAAACCTAATAATCTTAACTCCAAGAGTAACAGACGCTCAAAACAATACGCATTTGTTGCATCTACATCCAGCAATTCTTGCTCATTTTGTTCTAGCAATGAACACCTAATACAGAATTGTCATCGTTTTAAGGCACTGGAGGTGGTTCAAAGGTTTGAAAAGGTAAAGAGCCTAAAACTCTGCATAAACTGCTTATCGCCACGCCATCATGTGGTTAATTGCACATCAACGTTTAAATGTAAGGTTTGCGCAAAGCCACATCACACTCTCTTGCATCATTCGCAATTGCCAACGAATATTAAGAGCGCGGGATCATCACGACGCACAGAACACGCTGCTATGCCCAACGACAACGTTGCCAGCCATTCCCATCTTAATATGTCATCGGCCGAGCAAATAATTCTAGCTACTGCATTGGTTTTAGTGAAGGATTCATCGGGAAGTTATCAAGTGGGTAGAGCCTTGCTTGATTCATGCTCTCAGGTCAACTTCATAACGGAGGAGTTTTCAAAGAAGCTTAGTTTAGCAAAACATAAACATCGGTTGCATGTTTCCAGTATTGGTAGTTCGTTGACCAACATAAAGTATCAGACGCTCACATCAATCAAATCTCGTCATTCAAATCTTGAACTTGCTTTAAACTTTGGTATTATGAATCACATCGCATATCAACCAAGTTCTGAAATCGATATATCGTCGTGGAAGGTTCCACCAAATACACCTCTCGCCGATGAGCAATTCTTTAAATCCAAGCGCGTTGATCTCTTGCTTGGAGCTGAAAGTTTCTTTGATATTTTGTCTGTCGGTCAAATCAAACTAGGTGAAAATTTTCCAGTACTTCAAAAAACACTATTAGGATGGATTGTATCTGGCAAGTACAAGGGTCAGCCATTTGCATCACCAGCAGCAAAATGCCTATTATCAGTTGAAGATACAGTCTCCGATCAATTAGAAATGATGTGGAAGATAGAGGAAGTGCAATCGGCTTCAAAGTCATGGTCACCAGCACATGTTGCGTGTGAGTCATTATATCGTGAAACGGTTCACCAAAATGCGATGGGAAGAATTGTCGTTCGGTTACCATTCAAAGATTCACCAGATTGTCTTGGTTTGACACACAATATCGCCCTGCGCCGTTTTTATTCTGTAGAACGGCGATTGTCATCTAATCGTGCACTGAAGCAAGACTATCAAGAATTCATGAAACAATATCGAGAGCTCGGACACATGACGCGTGTTGAGACTCCGAAAACCAACGAACCTCATTATTATATCCCTCATCATTGTGTTTTAAAACCGTCGAGCACTTCGACCAAGCTGAGGGTGGTTTTTGATGCGTCATGTTCAACAACTTCGCAACGTTCATTAAATGATATTCTACTGGTCGGCCCGACAATTCAGTCGGAGTTATATTTGTTGCTACTTCAATTTCGTTTGCACCGATATGCCTTGACGGCTGACATTGTTAAGATGTACCGACAGATACTGATAGATGAACCAGATCGAAAATTCCAATATATTTTTTGGCGAGATACGGAGTCCGATCCTGTTAGTACTTACGAGTTGAATACAGTCACTTATGGTACTGCATCAGCACCTTTCCTAGCAACCAGGAGTTTGCAGTATTTGGCGGACAAATTTGAAACACAATACCCAATAGGCGCTGCACTCATTAAATCAGCGTTCTTTGTCGACGACTTCTTAGGTGGAGCAGATTCCATTGATCAACTCACCAATATCAGACATCAGTTAACGGCCATTCTACAGAAGGGTTGCTTCGATCTTGACAAATGGCATTCAAACCATCATGACTTCATCAGCGATACTACAACAAAGAGTTTGAATCTTGATACAGATACAGTCACCAGCGCTCTAGGCATCAAGTGGCACCAAATGCAAGATGTTTTCCTATTTTCGTTTAATGCACAACCAGGTCATATTGTAACAAAACGCACCATCTTATCCCTTGCGTCTTCATTATTCGACCCGCTTGGATTACTAGCACCGATCATACTCGTAGCCAAAATTATGATGCAAGAATTGTGGCTTTTGCGTGTGGACTGGGACGAGTCAGTCCCTCAAAATCTTCACTCAGCTTGGAAAACATTTATTCAAGATCTTACAACGCTTTCATCGGTTAAGGTGCCGAGGTACTGCCTATCCATAAACTATCAACAGGTTGATGTACACGGTT